CAGCTGTCCACGCGGACGCATCGCTCACTCAAGTAGGAGAGAGACAGATGTCGAACGCTGCCGAACGCGGAGGCCGATTGTGCCTCTTTGTCGCTTGTTCCGCGCTCTCGCTTGCACTTCAAGCCTTAAATGGAACGCTTAAGGGCGTGGTAACGCCGCATGAGTCATGTTTTTTCGTGCGTGCAGCCGGCTCCATCGAATTATAAGACGTTGTCACGTCAAAAAATTATTTGAACTTATTGCGAATTATCCTAGCGGAATTCGAGTTCGTATAAAACAAGAGGAGGTAACGCGCTTGGAATTCAACGGAACGCTCAGCCTGAATCGGTTTTCCGGCTCCTCCGTCTCTTTCTTTCACGATATGTAAAGTAGTTTTCTAATTATTTCTAAGCAAACAACGCAGACAAGTAAGTCAGTGCAGCGGGAAATGGCGAAGCTGAGTGTTCACGACCGTGCAGTGCTGAGCTGCATATTTAACCCCAGTTTACCCCTAGACGCCATCGTCGAGGCCGAGGACGTAAACATGCACCTAAGAGGTACGTAAATTGCACGTGTACTATGTACCCTTACAATTACATGCATGCGAATTTTCAATAGAAATTTCGTTAAGTTAAGGTAGAAATTTCCACGTCACATAACATATAATAAGTAAGTACAGTTGAACTTGATTATAACAACATTGGTTATAAGGACAACTCTGATTTAACGTTAGGTTTTACGATAATAGACAAGTAAATCGTCATCATCATTATCAAAGGGTTGTTAGTCTTGAAATTCGCATTCCTTAAAACTAGAACATCCCACACCCTTAACTATTTGTGAACAGTAATCTAATCTGGGTCTACCTCTGCCTTTCGTAACTCATATTTGTGCTTCCAACATGTCTCCAACTGGGCCTTTATTTCTGAGGAGGTGTCCTACCCTCTATTCTCCTACTCCTCATTTCTAACTGGTTGCTCTATTATGCCAAACTCAACATAATCATTATCGTCATCATCATCATCATCGTCATCATCATAGAATCGTCAATCCTGAGACTGTATGAACACGCATCTCCACTCGTTCCTGTCCTGAGCTATCCTTGATATTCTCTAAAACTAGAACATCCCACATCCTTAACCATTTCTGAACAGTAATCTAATCTAGGTCTACCTCTTCCTTACTTAACTCATATTTGTACTTCCAACATGTTTCCAACTAGCCCTTAATTTCTGAGAAGGTGACCTACTCTTTCTAACTCCCCTCATTTCTAACTGGTTGCTCATTTATGCCAAACTCAACATGGTTATTACATTTTAGCATAAATGTTAGGGATATTTTTAATTATCTTTATTCATATTCTTAGATATATGTTTTCTGTTCTGTTAGTAATGGTTATCTTGTGCCCTCAAGATATTTCTTGCAAGGCTGGTTTTTTANTATTACATTTTAGCATAAATGTTAGGGATATTTTTAATTATCTTTATTCATATTCTTAGATATATGTTTTCTGTTCTGTTAGTAATGGTTATCTTGTGCCCTCAAGATATTTCTTGCAAGGCTGGTTTTTTAGAAAGTTACATGCTTTGAATTGATGCACGAAGAATTACGAAGAACCGACCCATAGCAGGTACTGTAGGGGTAGCTTTCTAAAAAGTCCAACAATAGATATAGTCGTTCTCGAATAGTTGCCTTGTTAATACAAACTTTTTCCTTCGCTTATACTTTTTACAATAGTTTTTATCATTAATATATTGGTTATTGGAAAGTAACTCTGCTGATTATTTATTTGAAAGCCACCCCTTCAGATAAATATTTAACAATGGTCATTATCGCCGTCATCATCATCATCGTCATCATCATCATAGAATCGTCAATCCTGAGAGTGTTTGGACACGCATATCCATCCGTTCCTATCCTGAGCTAACCTTCATACTCTCTAAAATTACAACATCCCACATCCTTAACTATTTCTGAACAATAATCTAACCTAGGTATACCTCTTCCTATCTTAACTCATATTTATGCTTCTAACACGTTTCCAAATAGACCTTCATATCTGAGAAGGTGTTCTACCCTCTATTGTCCTACTCTTTCTAATACCTCCATATTTCTAACTGGTTCATCCTGAATTATCTGACCTCTTAGATACCTAAAATTAGCCACTTCTTCTATTTTTTCGTCCCGAATCTTTATATTCACCATCTCCCTACATTTTATTCCCTTTCATACCAATATTTTTATTAGATTCATCAGTAAATGACTTTATTTTCGCATATTTACCTAATAGAATTAAAAATCCAATTTTATAACTTTAATTAGACTACAATTAGGTATTATATTAGTTTTTAAGAAAAGAGTGTATTGATTTATGATTTTTGCATTTAAAGGTAAAGTTGCTTGCAAACTTTTCAGATGATGATGAAGAAAGCTATCAAGAAATTGAAAAAATTAAAGTTATGGAATGTAAAGCAATACATCTCGCTGAGTCGGGGAAAACGGACGAGGCGATAAAAATTCTCGAAGAAGCAATCCACCTTGCGCCTCAAAAAGCGTCGCTGTACAACAACAGGGCTCAAGTTTATCAATTAAAAAGAAAGCCCAATGGTAAGAATCCCAAGTAACATACACAACACCAAAAATGAATAGGAAATATAAAATACTCATTCAGTCAACTTCTAATACTCTATCTCCAATAAAAATAAATTCATAATAGGAAGGAAATCGCTGCAAACCAAGAAATAAAAATAATTTCCTTACTAAATAACTCATTATGTTAACAATTTTCACAAAGTTGGTCATTAAGATATGGAATTGATCAGTTTTTGAAGAAAAGTATAAATTCATATTTATATAAGAACTACAAAACCCCTTTTTCAAAAAATGGAAAGATGTTACCATAAACTGTATTTCTTGACCCAAAATGAATAGGTTGATGTTTTTTAATTTATTATTAACGGTTTTAGTTGGAGATACACCTTCAGTTCTCCTAATCCTAACTAATCTTCGTATAGCAACTTTTTTATCGACTTTGAATTTCATTTGATACCTACACCTGTTCATTATTACTTTCCGAATCTTTCAGATGCACTCGACGATTTAACTAAAGCTATCGAGTTATCTGGAGATAAGTTACTGAGAACGAAGCGTGAAGCCCTTTGTCAACGCGGTCTGCTGTACAGAAAAATGGAAAACGAAGAACTAGCAAGAAACGACTTCAACGAAGCTTCCAAATTGGGCAGCCAGTTTGCAAAAAATCAGGCAAGTAACAAAACTGTCATCGTCATCCTCATCATCATCAGATCATCCGTCGGACAAGCATCTTGACTTTTTCCTAACAAACTTAACACCAAAACTACAACTTCATACCTAAGAAACTGTTCTACCAACCTATCTTGCCTAAATCTTATCGACTTTCATTAGAAATAATTAATTACAATATCATTAAACACAGAAACCCACATATACGTGCACACACTGCGTAAAAACGTATGGTATTTAGCGTACTTCATTTGCAGCGGTCATACACGGTCGTGCAAATCACTAGCATTTAATATACGCCCGCTGTTTCATACAACCCTACAAAAAAAGTCAAACGGATTTAGCTCAAGACTGCGTGCCGTCTATGATATGTCCAGTCCAGTGTCTAGGATAATATTCCTCTAGAAACTCACGCATAATGCTATAATACTATTCTATACTTATTTATGACACTCAGACACTGGCATTCTTCTAATGATTTCGACTGTATGCATGCGTACGTAATACAAAACTGCAACATTAAAAGATGAAGAACTAACTACTCCAGGTTGCAACGTCGTATTTCTTTGCGCCCTACCAGGCCCGGACTGATCCCTTCAAGTACGTTTTTCTCGAAAACGGTGAACTTTCAGACCACAAAACGTCCACTTAATTTTCTTGTTTTATAGTGCCCTATCACCTCATGCAAACTTGCTACTTATTTCATAAACACCCTGCATACTCAGCGTTGCTACTGCTTTTTATGTTTTGTTTTCAGCTGATTGAAATGAATCCATATGCAGCATTGTGTAACCAAATGTTAAAACAAGCAGTTGAGAATTTGCAAAAGTGATCAAGAAACAACGTCTTTAAAAAGTATACTTTTACATACCTCCACCATAGATAGCTAAAATATATTTGTAGATATATTTAATTTACTAATACTAAGTAATAAATTTGATAACACTAAAGATATCTATCATTTTCCCAGAATTTCTTGCAGTGTAATTGTTATTTAAACTTTAACCCCAATTCTTGTATCATTAAACTACCCTTAAAGCTAAAATAAAAGTCAAAGCACAATTAATGTAAATATCTGGAGAATTTTACCTTGATGCCGAAATATCCTTCATCCCTTCTGTGAGCCTGTGATAACTTGATTTGGTTGATGTAAAGCTTGACAAAATATTTTTCTTCTATCAGCCCAAATTAAGGGTGTTTTTTACTTATCGCCTTGCTTACTGAAACAACAGAAAGGTCAATTACTAAGAGACTTTTTTCTCCATGTTTATTTTACAAATGGATCATACAGTTAATTCTAAGTGTCAAGTGAAAAAATGTATCCAAAGTAAAAAGCGTTAGTAATTTTACTTTCATTACATTAACGAAATGTTTCACAAATGTTCAACTAAAGAAATAACAGAAATTACTCTTAGAAAATATTTTTAAACGATATTCCTCAATTACATGATAAAGTAAAACTATCAATAAACAAAAAGAAAGAATGACTTCAATATCATATTAGTAGAAACTATCAAAGAATATACTTTTAGAAAATACTACAAATGGCGCAGTAAACGCCATCTGTAGCACGATGCTACATTTTAGGATTACGTATGCTCCAACAAGATCCCCTTGTCATCGTGCTACAGATGGCGTTTACTGCGCCATTTGTAGTATTTTCTAAAACGCACTGTTAAAACAGCAGGTAAAAGTTGGCCTGTGTTCTGTCGAGCTGCCTGCGGCGCGCTGATGAGATCCAAAATGATCGACATCGCGATCCGCGTCTGGCAGTTTCGACAGAATACATACCACTTCGAATTATTTTATTTAAAGAATATACTTAATTGGATTTCAGTTAGATAGTGTGAAAATCAAAAAGGAATAAAATAAAGATAATTAGTAGAATGAAGATTCGAGCTATAGGGCCGCGGTCTAAGTGAACTGTTCCGTCCAGACGTTTCGTCAGCTACTGCGGCTGACATCTTCAGCATCTTCATTCTACTATGGATTCCGGCCGTGAAAGCATTTGTTCTTATATTAAAGATAATTACATAAATTTTCAAGTGGTAAGCAGAATGTTTCCAAGTGTGACATCACGTATGTGTATATTTTGAATAAAAATTGTAACGAATACTGCAGCAAAAGTACTTTGCCATTTATAGACATCCCGCTACATCCTTACTGAAAATGACCCTCTGTCAAACTCATTGAAACTTTGGATTCTGGTAGCTCTCAACGTGTAGATTAAAGAAAAAAAAAAGAAACTGATTGGTATAATTAGTAAGATGCTTTTTATTTTCGAAATTTTTAACATGTTCTGAAATCCTCGTTTTAAATGATCGTCCGGTCTGTCCCATATAACATTTTTCCCAAGAGCTCACATTCAGTTAATAGACGCAAGATTGTTTGAATTTTTCAGTTTTATTCTTATTGCTTTTAATGAATTTATGTGGGGGTTTAAAAGATATAATTATATAGCCGAAATTGGGGTAGTTAATTCTACTTCCCGTTATTTGTTTTATTTTCCACACGATCCATTTGTAGTTTAAAACGTGGTCCATTAACTCTCAAAACTCCTTCAAAAAATTTGTACATCTCCTCCTCATGCATGACACGTAGTGTTATTAGAAGTCGTTCTTATCATACGCTTAGGCTTATTGTGTCCTTATCTGTAATCGCGTCTGTCAGGGAGCTTTTTTGTCTACCGAGAACTGCTCGGAAAGTTTGTTGCGTCGTGGTCAGGGGTGGCTGTTTTTTCCGAAGCTCAGCCCGCGCTCATTTGGGACTCAGAGATACGGAGAACATGGCGGCAAAAACCGACGAAAAGTTGAACAAAAAATTCCCACAAACTTTCGCCCATGTGACGTCCTATCGTTTTTAATAATATAATATGCCAACTTCATTTACATGATTTATCTTTTAAACATGGAGATCCATGAAACTCCAGAGACAAAGGGCTTTCTTATGTTGTAGATATTTTAAAAATTGGGTTTGAAGGAACTTCAAAATATAATTTATGATCTTTTTATTCATAGTGTTGTAATTTTTATCATGTTTAAAGTGAGTTTTCCAAACTATTCAAAAGTTGAAGGCAATAGTAAGTGACGGGAATATTTAACGAATTACAGACTAACAATATATTTCATAATCAAATACTAATTTATAATTGAATTGCAATCAAATATTCAGCAAATTTACCTATAAGTTGCTTTCAATTTTGCAAGTGAACTACTTGTGAACGCATTACCTTTTTCAACCTGGAAAGCTTTTAGTAAATGATTTTTGATAAATCTTACAGTTTTAAGGAAATTAACTGATTAAAAACTGAGGCATTTATGAATATAATGCAATCGTTTTCATGAAATTCTGTTTGTACCAAATTAGATACTCCCTAAACGTTAAGTTGTATTCAATTTTACAAGTGAACTTTTACTGAACGCGTTACCTTTTTAAGTATAGTTCTTTCACTGGTAAGCCAACTAACTAACCTAATAATTTTGTATCTGAATGCATAATTTTAAATAAATCTTATAATTTTAGGGAAATTAACTGATTGAAAACTGAGATATTTGTATATATAATAATTACGGCTTTACTAAAAATTCCATTTGTACCAAATTTAGAAGTGAACTTCTACTGAACGCGTTACCTTTTTTCAAATATAGTTCTTCCACTGGTAAGCTAACTAACTAAGCCAATAATTTTATATTTAAATGCATGATTTTTTATGAATCTTAAAATTTTATAGAAATTGGCTAATTAAAAACCTAAGTATTTTTCAGTAAATCTGTTTGTACCTATTTAGATATAAACCCAAACGTTAAAGTGCACTCAATTTTGCAAGGAAGTACTAAAGAACCCAATCAGAATTCTTGCGGTTTGCTGTTACTCTGTGGGTAGCAAACAAATCAAAAAGGGTTCAGAATAGAAAAATTTGGTTGTTAGAGAAAATTCTAAGGGAAACGACGCTCGATTTTTAAACGTCGCATTTGGTTAGGGAAAGCTGCGGAAAACGACGTTATTAATCTCACGGTATTGTGGCGGGTCTAAATTTGGTAAGTAAATCTTCTCGATTTTCCGTTTTGTGACTTCACGTGATGGACCCTTCGATTTTTCACGGACAATGTATTATTCGGAAAAAAGACCGATCGAAGATCATTACGTTAATGTATAATTGGCTGACGGATTGATATATTCAACCACTTCTTCTCCAGATTGATTCCGATTTCTTATTGAGAAATGATGAAATAATTCACCATTCTTATTTAAATAACTAAACGACAAAATAAATGTATGTTTTTTGATATACAGGGTGCTCTTCAAGTAAATTTAAATGTACATGTCTTCTATTTAGTTCTTCGATTTGAAGAAATAAAGCCACTACGAGATTGCATTACTTTTTAATTGTTCAATTAGGTCAAGTCCAAAACGCTACAGTATGCAGAAGTTACTCTACAGTATTTGCAAGTAAATTTTTATATTAAATGGTGGTTTCTACTGGGATCCGTCAAATGGGAGGAGCGTAACATGGCGCTGATTAGGGACAACTTATCGTAGTTCCTATAGTGTACCGTGCAACTTCCAAGTTTTTAAATTACGATAAAATGATAAGTATTGACACAATATGTGATTGGGCTGACACAAAGCCTCGGAAAGGAAATTTCGTTGAAGGTGAGCGTGTTTTTAATGCCTATCACATTATAAATTCGGAGATAACAAATTCCGTCATGTTTACTGCCTACTTTTTACAAACTTCGGATTTAAAAAGTGATTCACGTTATATAATTGATGAGGTGATTCTGGGTGATTTAATCAAAATCATATCAATGATTTGCACGTGCAAAGCCGATTTAAGAGAACGTTGGAAACACATTATTGCAACTTTGTTGTATTGCAACAGGTAGGTTCTTAACCTCAAAATACTTATATTGTATCATTAGAATTGTGTTAAATCAATTACACAGGAATAAATAATTTCTCACTTTACAATTTTAGTATGATTCTAGTTTTAAATATNAATTCACAAGACTAAAACCTAATCCTCTGTTTAATTTCATCTGTTTTCATTAATTTTGTTGGGTTATATTAAAATCCAAATAAGAAATGCTGTCAAATGTGTACTCTTCAATTAAAAATACCTTAAAGTAGAAGAGGAGTACATATTTCAAAACTACGAAGGGTTTGAAGGAACTTCAAAATATAATTTATGATCTTTTTATTCATAGTGTTGTAATTTTTATCATGTTTAAAGTGAGTTTTCCAAACTATTCAAAAGTTGAAGGCAATAGTAAGTGACGGGAATATTTAACGAATTACAGACTAACAATATATTTCATAATCAAATACTAATTTATAATTGAATTGCAATCAAATATTCAGCAAATTTACCTATAAGTTGCTTTCAATTTTGCAAGTGAACTACTTGTGAACGCATTACCTTTTTCAACCTGGAAAGCTTTTAGTAAATGATTTTTGATAAATCTTACAGTTTTAAGGAAATTAACTGATTAAAAACTGAGGCATTTATGAATATAATGCAATCGTTTTCATGAAATTCTGTTTGTACCAAATTAGATACTCCCTAAACGTTAAGTTGTATTCAATTTTACAAGTGAACTTTTACTGAACGCGTTACCTTTTTAAGTATAGTTCTTTCACTGGTAAGCCAACTAACTAACCTAATAATTTTGTATCTGAATGCATAATTTTAAATAAATCTTATAATTTTAGGGAAATTAACTGATTGAAAACTGAGATATTTGTATATATAATAATTACGGCTTTACTAAAAATTCCATTTGTACCAAATTTACAAGTGAACTTCTACTGAACGCGTTACCTTTTTTCAAATATAGTTCTTCCACTGGTAAGCCAACTAAGTCAATAATTTTGTATTTAAATGCATGATTTTTTATGAATCTTAAAATTTTATAGAAATTGACTAATTAAAAACCTAAGTATTTTTCAGTAAATCTGTTTGTACCATGAAAGTAACCCGGCTC